TTGTTTTTTTATCTCTTTACTAAACAACAACGAAAACAATAATAATGACAATGAAACATATGTCTATATTTCTGAGATGAGATATTATGTACACTATTTACATTGTTCGGACTATTGTCCTCATCTTTGTTGCCATATTTATCACAACCTTTTGGCCGTTGTCCGCTCCGGCCTTCTTCATGTGGTTGGGATGTCGAACTGAACCCTTTATTTCGCTCGCTGGGGTAGACTGTTCTAGTTCCACGTGCCAGCTATTAGTTATCTCCTGTTAATTTCCCTCTCCAAGTTCTTCATCGCCTTAACCAAGTATTGAACTCACAGTCTTTGGGTCGTGTCACGGGATCTAACTAACGCCTTTATCCACTGTGCCATGAGAAATATAGACAGGTATTGTTGAACAAGTTGGCCGATATGTATACTATCCATATGAACGTCTTGATCTGACGAAACTATTTTAGAACATTATTTCTTTTTTTGTTTAATGTGTTGTTTTGATATTTTTGATTCATATGGTGCTGGACAGAACTACCTATTGAGCAACTCATCCTATCTTTAAATTCCTTATCTCTTAGATTAAATTTGTTATTACAGATCCATACATCGATGTTGTATTGAATTGTTTAGAATTAATTAATTCCACATTCTTAAGGTTTCAGGATACGTGTCATCAGTACTCTCATTCCATTTCCGTATCACACTTTCTGACATGGAAAGGTTTAACCAGGTTTCTACCTTTTAGAACATTTAATAAAGAGTGATGATTTCTAATTTAGATCATCTTTATATCATCTATCTATACGTATATCATCAGCATATCCCCCATTTTAAGGTAGGTACGCTGACCTCGGAAGGGAACACAAGACCGCTATTGTATAATCGAATGGGTTATGGCATGGATTAAATATATTGGACACTCATTTCCTTCTTGTCGGACTAGTGATGAGGTTTAAATACACACACACACACACGTACACACACACATGAATATATATATATATATATATATATATATATATATATATATATATATATATATATATATATATATATATATATTAAAATTAACTGATTTAAAATATGGTTTTTTCGCTACACATGGAAGATAAAAGCTTAGAATTTAATTTTGCAATTAAATTAAAGACATTTAGTTCCATTTCATCTTCAAGCGAATTTTGGAGTATCTTATTTTTAAATTTACTGGGTTTTAAAGAAACGGCAAAAATCATAATTTACAGTTTCCAAGGATACAAAGAAATTCATTCATCCAGACAAGGGGTGGTTGCGTGTTCATTTTATTAACTTTTGTTTATTTACACACACACACACACACACACACACACACACACACACACACACACACACACACATATATATATATATATATATATAAACTCCTGCTTAATCAACTTCCATAGCGAATGTCCTGATAAATATAAAATAGCCCTAATCAAAATAATTATCAATAGAGCTTTCTACATCTCACCTAGAACAATATATATATATATATATATATATATATATATATATATATATATATATATATATATAAGGGGGGTGCTATCGTTAGAATTCAAGTAATAAGAAGTTTCCATAAATGTAGCATATCTCATGTTTCAAATCTTGTAACCTTCTCCACTTTTTAAAACACTTTTCTCTCAAATTATTATTATTATTATTATTATTATTATTATTATTATTATTATTATTATTATTATTTCCTTTGATTTCTGTTGTATACATATTTCCTTCCGAGTCCCAACAAGAGACATTAGGTGAGAAATGTCATCATGACATTTTCACTGTACATTTTTGAGCCTAAGAACACACATATTTTACATTGATAAAGCCTTTCGTAAGGTGTGAGCTATACTTGTGAGGACAATTTTTTTTTGTATTTCTTTAAGATATGAACTCCCAGGGATCCCTTCAGTGAATCCATCAAAACTTCATCCTTAAATTGACGTTTTCAACCACCACGGAAATTTTTGATGTCTTCATGTTACCACATTTGAGTGATTTCCACTTTTTATTTTATAATATTTTATATTTTATAACTATTTTAGAAAGAGTCAAATATCTCGGAAAGGAAATGGACGTAATAGTTTTCAACATCTTGATACAATGTTATTAATATCCCACAAAATTTCAACTGGAAAATAAAAGCAAAAGAAAAAAATCATTTCCTCTAAGGATGCAAAGCTATCAAGTATTAAAAAAAGCGGACGGGCAAACGATAATGTCCACTACTTACATTTTCTCATATATAAAGAGTATAGCGACGCCAGATAAGTAATACATGTATGAATCAATGTTATCTTATTTCACTATTTCTAGCTTTTTCTTCCTTTTTATATGGTTAAAAGCATTTTTTCTTTGTTCGTTACATATTTTTTTTTTGCTTTTTTTTCCCATACTTTCTCTTTCTTTTCTTTTTATCACCCTGCCTCTTTTTTTCTTATCTTCTTTGTTCTCGTTTTCATTTTTTTTTCCTTTCTTCTTTTTCGCATTCTTCCATTTGCCTTCGTCTTCTTTTAATTATTCTCAATTGTTAAAAGTAGTTCTATTACCGACATTCAGAGTGCTGTAATACGGACGTGACGATCTTTATCAGAACGACTGAATAATGTGCTTCCTTGTTTTTGTCTCGTTTCAAATCGGTCCGTCCCACGTTTGATTGCTGACAATCTACGGCAATGAGCCAGTGACGCCTTCCTCGGGCGCTATTGTGTCTGCGGTATAACAAATGCCATTGTGAACGGGCGATAGAAGATGAGAGAAAGAGAGAAGACAAATGGAATAGACAGGAAGTGGTGGGAAGGGAGAAAAAAATACTGCTGCTGATGATATTTGTGATGGTGATGAAACGCGTATTGGTGACATATAATAATAATAATAATAATAATAATAATAATAATAATAATAAAATAACTAAAAATGAAGATAAATATGAATAATTATATATAAAAAAAGAGAAATGGAAAAGTGTGTAAATAAAGAAATGGACCTGTAATATCTAATCTGAAAGCAATTCTGAACAATCCTCTCGGAGATGAAGAAGACACTTAGCCAATGCTAAGAATAAAATAGAAAGAAAATCTGAGTCACAAAGAAATATTAAGGAGAAATAGAACTACAAAGAAATACCAGTGGAAATAAATTCCACAAGGAAGTCTAGAAGAAAATTGGAATTATAAGGAAAGCTCGAGGAAAATAAATACTACGAGGATGTTTCGAGGAAAACGGGAAGAAGTCTTGAAGAAAATAAAAATTACAAGTAAATCTTCAATAAAATAGGAAGTACAGGGAGACTTGCACATGCATTCAGAACATGACCGTTAAAATTGTTTGGTCATTTAATGTGGAAAGAAATCGGTCATAATTTACGATTCACAAAACGGAAGGAAAGATAATCAGGAATAAACAGAGAGTAACCAAGTGTGGATTGATGTCAGAAAATGAACAAAGGGCTATAGTAAATTCTAAAAAAAGTTACGTAGAACAATAGACGACAGGACATTGAGAAGGAATATGATCACCTTATATCCTGAAAGACACAGAATATATATATATATATATATATATATATATATATATATATATATATATATTATTATATATATATTAGTATATTAGTGTTTTAAGCCTTTTTATTATATCCTTACTCTGTCCTGGACATTGAGTTCTACCTGGATTCTTCCACTTGGAATTTTTATTCTAAAAATATACATGTATGGGTATTTATATATTTTGCATATGTATGTATATTTACCACTAATACCACTCTTTCTCTCTCTCTCTCTCTCTCTATATATATATATATATATATATATATAATATATAAAAGTAATGGAAGTTCAATAGTTCCTATTTATTCGCTAGAGACATCGTCGAAGGGCTCCAGAGGACGTCTGAAAACGTCGAGAGTATTTAACTCTATACCTGACATGGGTACGTGGCTGAGTGGTTACAATGTTCGCTTTCCGACCCGGGATCGAATCTCTCCAGAAAGATGACTTCTGGATGTAATTGGCATGATGAAGTGATTCAATGTCTGCATACCATACCACTGGTTGACCCAAGCCTTGTGAGTGAAACTAGGTAGTCAGAGATATTTCGGACCGTCAATGATTTTTGCTAGCAGGAAGTCCAAAGTCATCGTGACCGAGGGTTTGCGCACACTGGGCTTGTTCTGTTTGTTGATAACCGTTTGTAACAGGGATTAGATAAGCCGCCCTAGTAGACAAGGCAGACTCGGAGACCAGCACCCAGCTATTATTGATTACAATACTTTTACCTATACATACATTTTTATTTTGCAATGATGCTCCTCCCTGTAAAAGGTGCAAAAGCCACTCAAGGTAAAGAGCTACAATGTAAGAAGCGCATTTTATGGTAATATGTGCGGAAGATAACAGTTAACCCTAGACGAACAGGTTAAGATTGTAGTGATCGAGGAAGCATCCTCTTCGGGATCAGAACCTTTGTGAAACAAAGCAGTGGTTCTTGGGAAGGTGTTCGAGTAGAAATTACATCTCATCAATGGAATACGAACTGAATGAGGATACTTTGTTCGTGGCAGGGAGGATTTTAGCCGTGAACGATAGAATTGTTGGAACGACGTAATGTAGCTCGTCTAAACACTTTCCATGGAAAGAGTAGCAGGTAGAGCAACGAGTGGTTTGCTACGTTTTGGCTGTTGGAAAAGGACTGCCGGATGGAAAAGAATTAATCACACACAAGAATGCGGAGACGCTTTTGGACTCTGTCGAGTGCGAAAAGTCAAAACGGGAAGTCTCCTACCCATATATGGCCGCATTACTCAATTTTCTAAAAGTATAGGACAACAGGGGTGGGGAAGTCAGGTACTTAGAACGGTACAGGGAATCGGTATTTTTCTAGTATCTTCACACACACTCACCAAATGGTATTCCATGACATTTGGCATGTCAGTTGAACAACAATGACCCATATTTATCAGCAGAACATATCTTCTTAAAAAA